AAAAGAAGTATGGCTCGGCTAGCCGACTAACTCGAAATATGACTCGGCTTCTATGGCCAAATGGCTTAGGAATAGTGCCTAAAATCCTCCTCTTTTATATATGTAGAGGATATGGTAACTTCATGAAAAGGAATGTGAATCATGTGATTCAGATGACTTTAATTTTCTAACACACACTGTATCCCCCTCCACGACCAAGTCCACGCGCCCCCCCACAGCCAAAAAAATTGTACTCTTCTCTCACTCGCATTCATTAGTTTTTGTGAGTTTGCAAAATGTTTTGAAAATCTTTGTATCTAGAAGAAATTTTCCATGAGCTGCAAAATGTTGTTTTTGAGTAGTTGATTGTGAGTCTTCAGTTGGTACTTGGTATTAAATTTTAACCTATTTTTAACGTCTTGGCACCAAAAACTTGTTAGCTTTAGCTTTACCTTTACCCTTATCAGCTAGAGAAGGAACATTGAGACATTTCTTGTAATCCAATGTTTTGTCCTTGTATATGTCCCACCATTTTTACCAACTTCTTAATTTCTTGTAATGTGTGCACGCAGGGATGAATACAAGGAGTTTGAAAAGTTAATCCAAGAGGATTTACGAGAGATGGACAACCGCTTGGAAGAAGAAGAGGCCAGATATTCTTTCCCAACTTCCATTGAATTAATCCAGGGGTTGCACAGTGAGGAATTGTATCACTGACATTATAGCTGCCGCATTTAGCAGTTTGATGCAGCTGAGACGATTGAAGAAGCAAAGTCTGTGGAACAAAGGTAAGTGGAAAATATGGGGAAAAGGATACTTCGTTGCGATATCATTTTACCTAAACTTACTCGGGATAATATTACCACCTTTGTTTTTGTCATTTTGATGTCTCCAGAGGGCTCTAGTAGAAATTCTAAGGAAGAGGAAGTTGGAGAGGCTGCTAGATCTGTTGTTTCTAGTAAAGGTGTCACACAGGAGGAGTCTAGCCCTGAAGAATCATCAAGTCATGACGATGACCATGATGTTTTAACAGTTGATTGGAGAGCAAAACATCTATAAACAATTGCTCCATATTTACTGGTGGCTCCCTCCCTCTCTCCTGGATTGCATTCAAGTGGGATACTGTCTATTCACCTGTATAGATGTAAATGGACTAGTTAATGATGAGTTTTGTTCGATATACTTAAAAACAATTATGCTATTTGTAAAATCATACTTGACAATAATGGTAGACAATGTTGGTGTTGTCAAAATTCGGGTCATTGATTTAAAAAGGTGTTTTAAATAAATGAACGTGATGTTGCCAAGTGTAAGTTGTCAACCAAGATTGTCAAATTAGATTATACATGTAGTATGATTCACTTAAAAAATAGTAAAATACGGGTTTTGTTTGTGACAATTTTCATTCTTGAAAATGTAGTTATAAAAAATTATATTACTTTTATGGATGTACTTTTTTTATAAATTAGTTA